TGAGGCCGTGGGTGTGAACACTGCACCGCGTGAGGGTGTCGGTGTGAACACTGCACAGCGTGAGGTTGTCGGTGTGAACACTGCACAGCGTGAGGCCGTGGGTATGAACGCTGCACAGCGTGAGGGCATGGGTCTGAACGCTGCACAGCGTGAGGCCGTGGGTGTGAACCCTGCAGAGCGTGAGGCCGTGGGTGTGAATGCTGCACAGTGTGAGGGTGTGAACACTGCACTGCGTGAGGGTGTCGGTGTGAATGCTGCACAGCGTGAGGGCGTGGGTGTGAATGCTGCACAGTGTGAGGGTGTGAACACTGCACTGCGTGAGGGTGTCGGTGTGAACGCTGTGTGAGGGCGTGGGTGTGAACTGTGCAATCAATGTGAGGCTTCCCCTAGATGAGAATGTGAGTCTTCCGAGTGTGAGCAGGCTGTATCACCTAGAATCTGGCACTAAGCAGCTTATGTGGGGCCAGCCTTGCTGTCACCCCGGTGTCCCCATACCCTCCCTTGGTAACAGCACCATCATAGCACACATGTAACTGCCCCCAGTCATTCCACAGGTAGACACATTCCCAATCAATGTCAAAGGAATCCCTATGAACATCTCAGACATGCCCAGGGGAAGCAGAGATGGGTTGGAAACCACAGTCAAGGTTGTTTAGCAGCGTGAACAATCGTGTATCAGAGGTTTCCTGTACATGAGCCCAGAGCGCTTCCAGAGTCCTTGATTAATATTCACATGTTTAAAACCAAACAAGACAAAACCCTCCAGCATGCACCCTAGACAGGTAAGCCTCAGTCCACCTTTACCAAAACATGCATTGTCAAGAAAGTATATTTGCTATAAACACAACACAAACCTTCAGCATGGCTTCTAGAAAGCTAACCTCACACCATCCCAACACCATGAAAAAGTACACAGACCACTTACCAAAAACCAGAATGAACAATGTATTCAGAGACACCACCCAGAAGACATGCTCCTACAGGGAAAAAGCATCAGTTTAGCAGAGGGCATTCACGGTGATGTCTGCGGGGGTCCACTGAGTGCATTCACGTCACGTGCACGACTAAGTGGACGACACCTGCTACTCGTTTTACTATTGGACTGAAGTTGTCTCCTCATGTTAGTCTGTGGTTCCCATTAGATGGTTCACAAAGCTAAACTTATGTAAGTTCAAAATGCTGAACCGAGAACAGAACAAAATTATTCAAGTCGTAAACATTTCGTCTTTACACATTAATAATCTACCACAAGCTACTGAGATTTCAGAAATACTCATCAAATTTCACTTAAGAGAAGAAAAAGTTGAGCCCATCTGAAGCCCGAGAGCTTGTCCACTCTGGGCTCATCGCCTGAGGCCACTGGTCTACCCTGGCAAGTCCACAGGTTCTGACCACTCTGCTGCCCCCTTCTGGCATGCTCCAGCCTGGTCCTCTCATCTCCTCTCCCAGTGTCTGCTCCCCTTCTGGAATGTTCCCCTGTCCTCCTCCTTCCTCTAAGCACATCTGGCATTGTTTTCCAAGTCTCCTAACGCTCGTCCCGTGAGGTCTCTGTCCACTGCCTGATCACTCAGGCCAATGTGGCCACTCCCTGGCTCCAGGCGCCCCGATCCCCGCCTGCTTCCTGTCAGGCTCACCACCTCCCCTGCACCACCAGGTTTAACAAGGCCCCAGGCAGGGCTAGTGTGGTGAGGTTTTCTCCTCAGAAACACTCCTCACCCCTTCCACACACTGAGTGGCCGCGAGGAGTGGGCACCTGGCCTGCTTGCCATGTGAGCTCAGCTCCTGAGTCTGCAATGGTCTCCCGTCGGGGCCTTGAGTCCTCACCCCAGCGTCTCTGGGGGCCCAGCCCTAGAGCTGCCTCCTGACCCCGGAATCCCTTCCTCTCTGCTGAGACGCCCTGGTGGGCACCCTCACAGCACCTCCGCCTCCTTCAATCACAAACACACTCCCTGCTGCTCACCTCACCTCAGGAGCCACAGGCCCCAGCACAACACGGGACATGCTGCAGGAAGCTTCGGTCAGCAGGCTGGCCCCGTCCACACTACTGCCCCAACAAGGGATGTGTGACCACATGGACTGGTCACAGCTGACCAGGGCCTCACAGTGGCCACCTGATCACAGACTGTGGGTCATCACTAGGCGTATCCCGACCCAGGTGCCTGGCCCACCACTCACCATGCCCCCTCTGTCTCACTCAACACAGACTTTCCTTAGCAGGTGGCATGTTAAAATTCAAAGGACAGTTTTACTTTTAACATTAAGAGGCAATGCTCGCTGTAAACTCTGCTACAAATCACAATTCTGTTACTAAAAAGGATGCATTTACTTACGAGAAAGACTAGTGATCCATCGAGTCCTAGCATCTAAATAGAATAAAGAAGAATGAACACATTAATTCAGCCCGCAGGAGGGTTTTCTGGTCCAGTGCCATAGCCACTGTTTCCCCTCACTCAGTGGCCAGCACTTCCCCACATCTCACAGCACCACACGTGCAAAGTCTACACAGAACTCTATCCTTCATCACACCGAGGGCTGCCAAGGCCACAGGCCTGTACTGCTGTGTCAATGGAAACATCTCAACACCACAGAGATGCCAGTGTCGCTGCAAGCATGGCGGGCAGGGCAGCCAGAAGCAGGCCTTGGCACGAAACAGCTTCCACGTCATGACGGTCACTGAGCCTGTCCCACGGAGCACCCACGCTGGGTGCAGCCGAGATGGCGGGGCCACTCACCCTCTCCCACGTCAGCTCCTCGGCGGCCCGGTCCCACTCCAGTGCATTCCAGTTCATGTCATCTGCAAGCAGAACGCACAAAGGTGAGCTGGGCCTGACCCACAGACAGCCGCTTAGTCAGCCGTACACAAGCCACCTCCTGCTTTTGATGAGGACGTGTGACACAGCAACAAGCAGGGAAACAGGTTGAGATGACCCTACGGAGTGAGGAGTTAGAAAGCAAGGACACACACGGCCACGGGGAGAGACGCAGCAGGTCTAGTCAGGGATGAGCCTGGGGATGAGAGCAAGTGAGGCCGCCAGAACCAGGGGGCAGGGCCGGGGCAGTCCAGTGGGGCAGGCAGGAGGGCGGGGGGATGCAGGCCCAGCAAGTCGGCCTGGCATATCCTGGTACCCGACTCTGCACCCCGAGGAGACTGGGACACCAAGGGTGCAGCCCTGAATGTGCACTCTTCACCTCATGAAAGAGGCCTGAGAGTCCAGGGTGAAGTCACAGACACAGGCCTCAGCACCCTGATTCTCTACTGCACCACGCACCCCACAGAAGAGCTGGCTGCCCTGGCTGTTGGGCCATCCTGGCTGGTGTCCTGATTGTGCACCCACCCCTGTGCCAAGGCCTGTGCTCACAACTGGCAAGTGTGGCAGCCGTGGAAGCAGCCCTACACTGTGGCAAAGGGGCGTGCAGGGCAGGCCGTGGCTGCCTCAGGCCAAGTGCAGCCGCACCACGGTGAGCCGACCACGTGGCTTCTCAGTCGACACTTGGGGAGGTGTCTCTGAGAATTCACAGTTGTGCCAACTCAACAAAAAGGGAAGAGAGAAGCAGAGGCAGGTGGCCGACAGCTATCAGCTAGCTCGTCAAGAGACTCGTGGGACCTATTCCATGTGGAAGGAGCCCTAGTGGCACTGTGCGTCAGGCGTTCAGTGTCTGCCCTGCGGGAGGTGCACAGCGGCTTCTGTGAGAAGGGCAGCCGTGGGGACACCAGGGGGCACGTCTACCGTCTCAGAATCAGCTCGACAGCAGCAAGTCGGGATGCTTTTTAACTTCCAACTGACGCACAGAATCCCGTGTAAAACATGCAGAATTCTGTGTAAAACAAGGCTTTAAAGCACAAAATGGACCCAACTTCACAGGGGACTAGATGTGGTAATGTCTATTAGTCAAAGCGGGGCAGTAAGCCCTCCGTGGCCTGAGAATGGGCCCTTGCCAAGCTGGGGTCCAGCCTGTCCTGCAGGCATGGAGTCTCACCAGGGGCCCCGTTGTTGGCATCAGCTGCACCCTCCACACCGGCATCATCTTCCTCCTCGTTGTCCTCCTCCTCCTCCCCCTGGTCATCCGGAGGGTCGGGGTTCTCGCCCACCACTGCATTCTCTGCAGGCCGGTTGGCAGGTTGGTCAGGAGCAATGTCTTCAGCTCCGTTCTCCCCTGCCGGAGCCTGGAACGGCAGAAGGACCTGGAAGTTGAAGGACCTCACGTCAGTTTGACCAAAGCACACCGTGGCTCTCAAGAAAACAGAGACCCTGCTTGGCTTCTGACAAAGCGTCTTTTCTGAATGATCTTCCCTTGGACCAGCTGGATCCATAAGAAAAACTCAGTGGCACGTGGACGTACCCAGTCGTTAGTAATTTCCAGGCTGACGATTGCAAAGCAGCAGAGGTAGAGACTGGCTTGCGAAGCTCACCCCCTTGACCACCACATGGAGACTTAACTGGCAGTGACAGCTGGGCAAGGAGATGTCCAGACCTGCTCGGTAGCTGAGAATGCCTCGGGAGTCTGTGGTGAGCACTCCACCACAGCGGCCTGCAGCCAAGGCTCTGGCCCGGGGTCAGTGTGGGCCATGCTGAGCACATGTGCTGTCCAGAGGGCACAAAGGACGCAGGAAGGGGCCTGCTGCCTGTGGATTTGCCTGGCTTTGCTGCAGGAGGCCCATTCACACACCACGCATGGCGGCCACAGTGACCTGGGGCCTCCCTCCCAGAGCAGGCCGACCTGTATACGTTCAGTGACCACTCTGCCTAGAAACGCAGCCCCAGGAGCATCCTTCCGATGGTTCATACTTCCTGAAACTTCCAAAACCTCTCCACTCATCTGCTTTCCAAAGGGGCAGAACAGGGCTCAGGACCTGAGGGTCTCAAAAGGGTGCTCACAGCTGGGGAACACTGTAGGGGGACTGTGGAGGGGGGAACCATGGCAGAGGCTGAGAGAGGACTGAGGAGGGTGAGGAGGACTGTGAGAGCGGACGGTGAAGGGGGACAGTGAGAGAGGACGGTGAAGGTGGACTGAGGGGACCCAGAGGGGACTGTGAGGGGCACTGAAGGAAGACTCTGAGGGGAGAACTTAGGGGAAATCTTGAGGGGGAACTGGGAGGAAGGAATAGTGGGGCAAATGAGAGAATCCTGAGGGAGGACTGAGGGGGAAAAAAGAGGGGGCAGTGAGGGAGCATGGAGGGGAC